AAACTTGACACTTAAAACAAAATTGAATTTCAACAAAAAATAACAAACATATTAAAAGCACATGAAATTCAATATATCCAAATCTAAAACACTTTATGCAATACAAATTATTGAAATTAAGTGCATATGCATAAAGTTTTCCAAAAATGTTATGCATTTGAAAATTTTGATATCAATTGTTAGAGAGATATCATCTACATTTTAGATCATATGCATAAACATTTAAATTTAGGTCAAAAACTTAAAAAATTTTAAAGACAAAGCATTTGAAAATTTGATATCAATTGTTAGAGATATATCATTTGCATTGAAAATCAATTTTGACCAAAATTCATTATGATGAACTAAAAATTATGAAAATCATTAAAACTTTAAAATGTTCATCATAACACCTTTTTAACATACATCAATGCATAACCATTTAAAATCAAAACTCATGCATGCATAAACTAAATGAGCAACCAAATAATCAAAATCAAAATTATTAAGTCTAAAGGTTACCCATTCCTTTTTCATGTGTGGCTAGAGCATTTGAATATCTTCACTTTCATCATCACCATTGCTTCCACACACCTACAAGAGACATTCATTTCGATTTTGGTAACCAAATTGCTTTGGATCCTTGGACGTTAGTTTCAATCCCCTTGTTCCCTTAGGAACCCATACTTGTCTAATTTTAAAACGTTTTCCTTTCTTAAAAGGAAAAGTATGTTCCAAATGACCATGAAAATGGCAATATGAGCATTTTGTCATTTTTAAACATAATAAGTTGTTTTTAGAAATTAATTCTTTTTCTTTTGTTAAGCTTTCAAGCTTAACTTTTAAATCAAAATTTTCTTTTTCTAAATCATTTGTTTTGATTTTTGAAAGCTCTAAATCATTTTTCAAAATTTCATTTTTGTTTTTCAAAATCAACTTTTGCTTTCAAAATCGATTTATTTTGAATTTTGAAGTTAATTTTGTATATTTGGAATTCATGGTCTCAAATCCCAAATACAACTTATTATAGGCATTTTGTAACTCATCAAAAGAATACGAATTAAATTCATTAGAGTTAGAAGATACCTCAGGCTCTTCACGGGCATTAGAAACACCACCTTTGTTGGTTCTTCTTTCTTGTTTCCATGAAGCTTTTCGAGCTTATTCCAAAGCTCCTTGGGACTTGAACAAGAAGAAAATCCTTCATATATATCTGGACCAAAAGCACAAAACAATATGTGCATGGCCTTGGCATTAAGTTGAGTTTTCTTCTGTTCTTGGTCACTCCACTTTTCTCCTTCTTCTTTGGAGAAGAGTAGCCATTCTCGATCATGTCCCATGCATCAAGATCATTAGATTGTATGAATAGCTTCATTAATTTCTTCCAATGATGATAGTTTGCTCCGTTTAAGTATGGAGGCTTGTCGATCAGTTGGGAGTCTTCTATGTGGAACGAGCCAGAGGTGGAAGCCATCTTCACCGTTGTGCTTGGAATTGGTAGAGTGTCTTCTAGGATCGTCTCAAGGATGTTAAGCCTTCTAACGAGTTAAGCTCTGATACCAATTGTTAGGATTTGCAAAGCTCAAATCGATAACTGAAAATGTTCTCCAAGAGGGGTCGAGATGGTTCTTGTGTTTAGGGAGTAAGGAGATTGAAAGATAAAAAATTTGTACAGAGATTTATAATGGTTCGACTTCGTAAGCAAGTCTACATCACTACCTTATCTCCTCACCAAGGATTTTCCAAAAAATTAACTAATTTGTTCTTTCCTTTTCAAGGACAAAGAGATAACCTTTACAACTCCCTAGTTTTTCACGGGCTAAACCAGAACCTTATCCCTAGCTTTTAACAGGCTTAGCTAGAACCAAAACCCATTTATAATGAAAGGAAATGTAAACAAGAAAACCTTCTAAGATAGGTGTTTACAAGAATTAAGCCCACAAGAACAAACTATTTATAAGAGAAAGATGAAATAAGATTGAAAAACTCTTCTCTTGTGTTTGATTGCTTGAATAGTTGTTCTATATTTTCTTCAAGTGTCCTCAGCTTGTTTTTATAGCTTGAAATGAGTTTGAAGTCATATCTAGCCGTTTGGTATGTTTTTGAGCCGTTGGGGATTATTTTTCTGCAAAATAAAACTACCGAGAACTAGTATCGATACTACTTCAATGAGTATCGATACTACCTTTGTAATATTTGAATTTTTGACCGTTGAGCTTGATATTACTATAGCAGTATTGATACTATTGTAGCAGTATCGGTACTCATTTTGCATTCGATGTTTTTGAGCATCGATACTGTTTAGTACTGTTCGCACAGTATAGGTACTATTCATACAGTATCGGTACTGTTCATACGGTATAATACTATTCATAAAAAATTTGTTCTCAATTCCAACTTAAATGGACTTTGAATTATGTTTTAAAACTTTTAATAAATTCAATTTAAGTCCAAAAACATTTTGTCATAAATTGTTATATCAAAATATAGTTCAACATAGGCCCTCTGGGGAGGTCCCGAAAAGTTGCCTACTTTATTAACTTGAGCTGTTGTGTCATCTTGAATCATTGGAAAACCGTCTGTTGGATGATCAGGTAATGCACATATTCCACATAGTCTGTTGGGTCCTATCTTTCCTGCAACAAGAGAGTTGACTACTTCAGTTAATTTATCTATCTTACTTTAAAGAAGATGAACTTATCTCATGAACCCTTCGATGAGTTTCATTAGTTGGGCAGAACTGTTGGTAATTTACGGCCATTGTTGAAATTAAATCCCTAGCCTCAATAGGAGTCATGTTCACCAAAGCTCATTCGCTGGCAACATCGATCATCTTCATTTCCAAGGGAGTTAATTATTCGTAAAAGTATTGAATGAGTGTTTGTTTAGTTAACCCATGTTATCGGCAACTAGCACATAACTTTTTAAACCTCTCTATGTAGTCATAGAGTAACTCTCCATCAAGTTGCTTGATTCCAAGTATTCTCCTTCGTAACTCACTTGCTTTCACCGCAGGGAAAAACCTGTCAAGAAAAAGATGATTCATTTGAGCCCATGTAGTAATAGAATTTGAGGGTAGATAAAATAACCACTCCTTAGCCAAATTGGCAAAGGAAAAAGGAAAAGCTCTAAGTTTTATTTGATCATCAGTTACTCTCTGTGGTCTCATGCTAGAGCATACCATCTGAAATTCTGTGAGATGTTTATGTGGATTCTCCTTTGGCAATCCGCGAAAGGTAAGGAGGAGATGAATACGGCCAATTTTAACTGGTATGGAGTTTCGCCTTGGTGAAAATCAATTCACAAAGGCTCTTGTTCAGTAGGTGCCGCAAGGATCGACCATCAGATTTGGTTCAATATTAACGAATTCACCTGAATTTGATTATGAATTTGATTTTGGATTTGATGTTGTCTCCTTCTTTCCTGAAGCGTTTGTGCGTGAAGTCTCCTAGCACTGGCTCTAATTTTTGGGTCATACTCCACTAATTCGCCCGAGTTTGTCCTGGTCATAAATAAAAATGAAACAAAAATTAGTATCTTTGGTGAAGTCCCCGGCAACGGCGCCAATTTGACAACTTTTGTTTTGATGTCAAAATAAATTCATTCTTCTTAATCAATAAATAAAGGAAATACGTAGTAAAGAGAAGTGAGGGTCGATCCACAGGGACTTAGAAAATTCCAAATTTTCATCTGAATTGTTTAAACCAAGCGTTATATAGTAAGTGGGGTTTTTTTAGAAAATGATTAAATAATAATAAAAGCGTTTTAAAGTGAAAAGATTGAAAAGTTGAAAATGAATACGGTAAAAACAGCCTCAAGCCTTGCTTTGACTCAATTTCCTTCAGATCATTGAATTAGATTTTCCCTTCGGGATTCACGTCGGTTACTTTGTCTACAAGGGCAATCCCCATGACTCTATTTTGTATAACGAATACCCAAGGAAATCTTTGATTCCGGCTTCGGAAACTGATCTAATCAACATCAATTGTCGTAGATCAATTACCGGTTAAGTTCGTGACGACCGGCTCGGATTTTTGTTTTAATAACCATTAATTCTGATCTCAATTCCCTCTTGGCAAGACTATCTGGCCAAGTGTGTTCCCAGGAAGTCGAATGTGCTTTCAATAAGCGATCCTTCCTCCCACACATTTAATCGCAACAACATCTTGACCAAAGTCAATCTTTGATTTTGAAAACTGTTTTGATTTTGAAAAATAAGCACATAGACTGAGAGAGATATTCTGAAGTTATTAAGGGCATTTTTCAATTCTCCTGGTGGAATTGAGTCATCGCTTTAGCTCTCGGCTTATGGGAAAATTAGCTAAGCATGACAAAAGTCATACTTAGCATATTTAAAAACAAAACTTAAAAATAAAGGAAAAAAACCGAAAACTTGAAAAATAAGTAAAGGAGAGAATTTTTATAAAACTAGAAAGGAGAAGAAAATTATAATTTGAGTTGTGAATTTAGGCTTACTCCAAGAGAGTATTTATAGCCTCTAAAAACCTAGAGATTAACAAATAAATTAAAATAAAAATAATTCTAAAGATAAATGTTTTCTAAATTCAAACTTTAAAATAAGTCTCCTAATACAACTCTGCCCGTCCATCTTCCAGAAGGCGCGCTAACTAGATCTTCTAGAAAGCTACCGCTAATTGGACCTTCTAGAAACTGCCACGCCAAACCGTGTCATGCCCAGAGTCGTGCCCATATCTCCAGCCGTGAACAAATAATAAAAAAATGCATATGCGTCCGTTTTACTACTAATTCTAGAAAGTGGGACCCTGCACTAAAATAAACATAACACAACCAAATCAGCAGCAATAAATCCATAAGATCGAAGAAATAACGAGAAAATATAACCGATTCAGAACACTCATCAATAGTCATCTTTTGCCGGCTCTTCCGATAAATTTGATGTTTCAGTAACTTCCTTGACCTCCAAGAGCTGCCATTTTTTTCGAAAAACCGAATCAAAAATGAAAAAGGAAATATATCAAACCATCAAGGTTTCAAGCTAATCCTGCATTTGATTGCTTGTATTTTCTTTTGAAACTTCATTCACTATGGTTTCATTTGTATTGTCACACTGATTTTCTCCGGCACTTGGTTTGACAAGTTTCTCTTTGATCAATTCATTGTCAAAAGCATTTTCACTTGTCTCAACTTCAACATTCGAGGCTTCTTCGATATCTATTGTTTGTTCTTGGATCTTTGGTGGACTCTCATCTTTTTGTGTTTCAGTTTCCATTGTTTCATGTTTCTCAGAAGGCAATGCAGAGGTTTCAATCTCCCTCGAATCCTCAGCTAATGAAGCTTGAGCAACAGAAGTTTCTTGTTCCACAATAGCTTCAGTCAATGCTTAAGATGAAGATTGATCCTTTGGTTCCCTCCAGTTTGATAGTTCGAGCAGCACCAGTTTCATCTTTCTTACCATCTTCAACCTTTTCTTTTTCCAAGCATGTCACTGTTGTTTGCTTTGCGTCAGATAAGTCATCCTTAGAAAGTGATGTCAAACTTGTCTGAATTTGATCGTCTGGTTCTTCGATTTGAAGACCCTCATCAACAATGGTTTTTTCTTCTGATAAAGCCCAGGCTCGCTTTCTACTTCCTGTTGCAAGCATACTTCTTCTATTGTGCTTTCATGTTTAACAATTTCAGCATCCTTATGTATCACTTCTCTTAACTTCTGATTCAAGTGTGCAGTTTCGATTTCTTCATCCTTGGAAGGCAATGTTGCAACAGAAGGTGGAATGAATTCAGGTGGGTATTCAGGTGATGTTTCAGGCAAAGCTTTGGTTTGATCAGCTTCACTCACTTCGGGTTCCGATGCTGGTTCTGTTTTCTGCACTTCTTGTTCTGGATTCTTTACTTGTTTAATCTCTTGATTAGCATAACTTCTGATACTTTCTTTGCTCATCTTGACCGAGCTCAAATTCACAAGCTCCTCATTCATCTCAGTGTTGTCTAAGCTTGTCACAGCTCCAACTTTTGTCACGGTTTCATCACTCTTTTCTTGAAAATGCAGCTTTGATCATGGATAATGTCCTTAACTTTTTCTTCTGATTCCGCATCTTCGTTTGGGACACTTAAGGCTTTCCAGACTCTTGATCCTGTTTCCTTTCTACTGATTCTTCGATGACTGACGATTCTCAGTCCTTGGTTTAATGTTCTTCAACCTCCAAGTTTTTCGCTTCTACCTGTTCCTTCAAGTCTCCTTCCTTCAGACATTCATTTGAGACTGAAGTGCAATCCTCCACCTATCTATAAAAAAGTTAAAAATGTTACAAAACCTGAAGCAAAAGTTACCAACATCTTTGGTGAGAAAGGGATGTTATTTACCTCTTTAGACAAGATGGCAATCTTGTTCATCTAGCTTTCTTTTTGTGCATCCTCCAGTTTGTCTTCCGGTTCCTCCACATTCTTGGTTTTGAACATCGGTGATGGTTTCATCAGCTTGGTTCTTGCTCAGTTCAGGGATGGTTTCCTTACTTATTTCTTCACTTACATTCAGGTTTTTGACCTCAGAAATCTGATCAGGAGTTACTTTCGGCACTTCAGTTTCTTGTTCTGCCAAGTTCTTAGCTAAATCATCTTCTGCTTCGACAATCTTTTCGACATCTTTGCATATACCCGAGGATTCTTCCGCACCCATGGATTCATCCAACTGTTTTCCATCTTCGATATGCTCTTTCACCAATCCTAAGTCTGATGATTGTTCAGCTTTCGATGTTTCTGCTACAGATTTGTATTTTCCGGTCTCCTGTTCTGTATGCACGTTTGATTCCTTGTGCAGGTGTTCCAGTCCTGTCTCTATGGCCTCTATTTTTGGAATGTCAAAAGTTGGATTATCCTCCTTTTCCATTAGTGTCTCATCTATTGCTTGTGGGAGAGGAGTTTTGGAATGCTCATTTGGAACTTCATCCTGCATTCCTTCGTCCCTTCTTGAATGATATGGAGGAATCTGCCTGTTCCACACCATCTACGCCGGCCCCTTCATGTCTGGTCGTTGCTAGACTGCTTTTTTCAGTGGGAACAGCATTATCTGCTTCCTGCTTTTTCTCTTCTGTTTCTGGTGCAACCGGTGCAGATTCGGGTTCAGCAGCATTGGTGCTTCCTTCTACTAAGGTTTTTTTCATTGGTCGAGTCCTCAAGTTCAGTTGAAGAGTTAGCCTGCAAAACATTGAACCTGTAAGTCGCGAAACAAGAATAGTAAAAAGGAACACATTTTTTGGATCCAAATCAGCTTTCTTTTATTAGCTGACCTTTTCTGTTGACTTCAATGGGATGCTTTCATCTTCCTTTATGCTTTCCTTCACAGTTTCATCACTAATCGATGGGCTCGAGATGTCAACTTTAGGATGTTCCTCAATTTCTGGTTCTTTACTCATCTACATGACCGAACAAATTTTCAACTTGACCAACGGCGACAAAAGTATGACTAGGTAACATATAAACATGAATAAATCACAGTAAGGTTTTCTGATTCCGAATTCGCATAATCTTCAAAATTGACACTTTCACTTGATGCCGTTGTAGCTTGGCTTACCACTTCAGGTTTGTCACCAACTTCCGCAGCAGGTTCATGTATGCAAGCAGCCTCCTTGTATGGATCGTCAATTTGCAGCTCTTTACTGGAAACTTCACTGATTTCTGAGATTGTTTCATGTACCCTGATCTCGGAAGTTTCTGCTGATTTTCAGGTTAAGGTGTCTCCAGTGCTATCGGAAATGATTTGGTCCTTTTCACTTACCGGTTTTTCAGCCAGATCAGTTGCTTCATTGCCCTCTCCCTTTTCCACTACAGCAAGCAGCTTCTCTGGTTCAGTGTCTTTGATTTCTTCAATGATTTTAAGTTCCTCTTGAATATTATTGGAGGGATTAGCCTTGGTAACTATTTCATTAGCCTCATTCGAGCTGTCCATTATCAGATCCGGACTACGGATCGAAGCTTTTTTCTTGAGCTCCAAGTTGACCTCTTGTTTATTGGACTCAATCTCAGCATTTTAGCTCAGTTCTTCTTCAATATTCCCAGGTTTCTCTTCCAGAGAAGAATCATTGTTAGCAATTACCTCGATCTTCGACATCTTTCCATCCTCCTCCTTTGAAACCTGAGGCGATATTGAAAAACTTCCACACTTGCATATCTCGGGATTTCCTTGAAAGACAGTATTCAAGGTTTCAACCACATTATTAGCGGCTAACTCGATACTCTCTGATTTATCCAAGCTTTCATCCGGTACGGGAGGCACATCAAGTCCACCTTCAGATTTCTTCAGAACCAAACTTGGTTTCCTGATCTCCTCTTCTGCTTTCTGCATAGATAATGAAGTTTTTTATTTGTGTTTTCAATTTCACATGCAAAATCATTGGAAAAATATCCATTTTATTCCCTGGTAAAACAGGCTTCTTTGGTAACAAAATTAAATTACGTATTTTTTCCCATTTCTACTCATTTTTTTCCTTCCCAGTATGAACAAATCTTTGTTTCTGCAAAACAGAGACATCTATGCTATAAATCAAGTGCATATGCAGCTCACTGTTTTACATTCCTGTAATAAAATTTACCAAAGAACGACGACTTTAAAGGTAATTCAGCTGTCGGATAGTCATATCAGAATCAGATTCTTAATATCCAAATCTACCATATTCAAGTTTAATATGCAATCAACTTAACAATTATATAATGCTGATTAAGGTAATCATTTAAGTATTTATCTAAATTTGCTATTTGTTTTGTTTAAGAATCTTAAAGTCATCAGTATTGTATGTTTCGTTTCGGAAAGTTAAAAACTAGATCTTGACGCCATTAAAGCGACAGAAGTTTCAGTGAATTACAATAGACTGGTCTCATGAATCTGGCTTATCGCTTCAGAGATTTAATATTCCTTACGGCTCAAAGGGAAAATTTTTTGAGTAAAGACCAAATCACCTTTTGTTTTTGCCTTTTATGTTTATTCAAAATCAAAGATCGTCATGTTTGAAGTGTTTCAAGGACATCAAAACAGTTACAAAGTGCTAACTAAAGTCACTTGTCTAGTTTTTCTGGTATGAAATTGCAGTATACTTGTAGAAAAACATCATATGATCTTTGGTAACCATGCAGAAACAGAAACACGAAGCAAAACAATATGAACTAAAGGAAAGAACTTTTCACCAGTACAGAGATGGGTTCTGGGATGATTCCTGCTTCAGTTGCCATCCTTTCATGGAGAAAAAGGTACTCGAATCTGAATCTAAACCCGAATGGTAAAATTCGAATCTGAGAGTACTAAACCAAACAATGATTGTATTGGAAACTTTTCAAAGCTTTTTGATGGATGTGTATATTGATCAAAGATGCAAGAGATGTTGAAAGCAGGCAGATAAGCAGACAAATCTCACTTGGTAAATGCTAATTATCATGCTGAGTTGGCCATACATGTAATTGGCCCTACTGATTTGTCACTCACATGGCTAATACACACAACTGCAGAAATTTCGTAAAGCATGTCGTTTGGTTTGGTTAAAGATCATTTGATTTGTCAGGCTCGAAAATTAAAAGACTATGAGATGTTTCTCTGACAAACCTTTTTAACAGTTTCCTTTTTTGTCTCAAAGCTGTGTTTAGTTGTCTTGTGGGTTCCCATACCTTCTGTAAATTATAACTTTGGGGCTATTTCTTCACAGCTCACATTAAGTTGTGATCAGTTGGAAAAAAGATAAAGAATTCCATAAAGTTTTACTCATTTGAAAAATAAAAATCTAAAAAATTGGGGAAAAAACGAATTAAAAATCCGGACCGATGGATTAACACTCTCCATTTTAGTGATGATGTTCAAATACCTACTTGACCATGCAACAGCATACTGTAAAAACCGATCATCATGATTAATACCGCACTTTTAGTACGCATTGTACTCAAATTTAAGTTTCTAACACGTTAAATGCTAATTCTTGTTTGGTTTTTAAAGGTTATTATTTGATATATAGATCTATTTTACATCTATTTTAATCGTAAAATCTATTTTTAAATCCTAAAATAAAAAATTTAAAACTCTAAACTTAAATTAAATTAAGACCAGAGGTAGGTTTGCTGGCTTCATTGTAAATGCAAATCTAGAAAAAAGAGTTACCTCTATGTTAAGAATCAAAAATGAAATATATCATATTCAATTTAATCCTTTTAAATCAATTTGATATCTCATTTGAAATGAATACTTTTGTCGACATTTAATTATTAATATCTCAGAAATTGATTCCATTTACCAAAACTATTATGATTGTTTTCAACTCTTAGTTGGCCACGTCAACTTTTCATTAAATTAAAGAGAAATCCAAGGTGGCAAGTGCCCAAGTAAGCCTCTAATTCTAAATTATGAGTGTGTAAATAATTACTATTTATTTATTTATATATAAAGATGGTATATGTTAACACATTATAAAATTATTTAGTTCTATATTAACTTAAGATCATTGGACTCAGAGTCGTAATAGATATTTTCGGGGCTCTGAGTGAAAACTAAAAATATTTGCCTTTATAAAATGAAATTATATTTCATTACTTTGAACAATTAATTAATTAATTAAATTTTACATAAATAAATAAAAAATGATTAAAGTTTTTGGAAATATATTATTTTTATTATTTTATTAAGAAAACACCTTAAATACAACTAAAAGAGAAAAAATATAAAAATATTGAATGCATATATGTATGATACATAGCTTGATTTTGAATAATAAATAAATAAATCAAAAGTAAAGTAAAGTATATAAATAATCTCCCGAACTTTTATGGAAATGATAGCTATGCGGTGTTGGCTAAAAATAGGGTTTGAGAAATTAGATATTTAAAGGATTTAAAGTTTTCTTGTGATTTTAAAAAAATTGAGTATTTTTAAAAAAATAATAATAATTTTATGTTTTATTTCAAAACAAATATAAATGTGACGGTTTCAGATAACTTTTTTAATGATAGTTAGCTATAGGCACTTAAAAGGATAACGTTGAAAATGTTAGACATATATTTTGAGAAAACAAATTCTTTAAAAACTTAAAATTAAGTTTAAATATAATTTAAACATCTATTATTATATTAAATCAAAATTCTAATTTCAATTATTACTTAACTAATCTAACTATCTAAAAACATGTAAAAACACTAAAAAGAATTTTCAATTCTTAATTATATAGCAAAGGATAAGTCTACAGCGCAAGTCGCATACCACAACAAATCACTAAAGTGACACACAAAAATATACCACTAACTAAATTGTCCTTATTAAGCAAATATAAAAGGGTAAATTACACGTTTTTGTACCTAAATTATCACTTTTGTTTTGTTTTAATATCTACATTTTAATTTTCTTTAAAAAATCATTAAGGAAAATGCTAATGTGGTATATGACATGTCAATTTTTTAATTACCACATCACATTTTTATCTTTTAGCATTTTTCAATTAATTTTATTCAACTAATTATATGATGACACATGTCACTACTTATGAGGATAAAGAAATAGAAATTATTTTAATCCTAATATGATTTGAACTTGGGTCAATTACATATGATACAAATCACTCAACCATTAAGCTAAGCTTGTCATTTATTTAAATTTCATCACATTTTGTATTTATATTCATAAAACGATATTAGCACAAAATCAATATTTATCGATGATTAAAAGATTCAAATATGAGACATTTTAAATTAATGACCGAAAGTTTAGCCACTCAATTATAATGTGAAAATATTTTTATTATATCGAACTTAATACTTACTTAGAATCTCTAGAATGAATAATACATGAATTTATATAAGGCTTTCTTTCTCTTAAGGTTTTTTCTCTTCACTAGGGCTGTAAACGAGCCGATTCGAGCTCGAGTATTGCTGAGCTCGACTCGACTCGAAAACTCTGAAATGGAGCTCGACTCGAAAACTCACTTGCTTAAAATTTTTAAGCTCGACTCGAACTCGAAATATTGAACTGAAGCTCGTGAGCAGCTCGAAAAGGCTCGAAATGAAAAAAATCTTAAACTTAACAAGATGAATCCTCAAACTCGAACCTGAACCTTAAATACATGAAACCCTTATTGTATTTTAAAAAAAAATCAACACATAAATGTTAATATTATTAATAATTTATTTTTTAAAAATAAAATCTTAATATATTATATTTTCGAGCTGCTCACGAGCTTTTCGAGTCGAGTATCAAGTAGCTCGTTTCGGCTCGTTAAGAATTCGAGTCGAGCTCGAGTTCGAGTCGAGTCCATTCGATCCGAGTATTTATCGAGCCTTGACCGAGTCGATCTCGAGTAGCTCGCGATCTATCTCATCTCATTTACAGCCCTACTCTTCACAAGTGGGCCGCTCACTTGTCCTTCTTTCATTTTGGCTTGGCCAACGATGACATCAACCTTAGTGTTGGATGTCAACCGCCGATATTCCTTATTTTTTTAATTTGATTATATCACATTTTTGTTTTTATTTTTAATAATTCTACTTTCATGACACATTTTTCTCTACTTTCATGACATGTTTTTAGTCTTTTTATCAGTCGTTTGGTTGTTTCTTTTCATTTATATTTTCTTAAAGTTGAATTCGACATCGCCTCAACTGATCAAGATGACTCTTATTTTTTATCCTGTTGATCTTTCCTGTTTTGGACTCTCAAATTGGATTTGGATACGGTTGCGTTCA